GAAAAAATGGCGATTTAGGGTGGTCGTGTTAAAACGGCATTTTCTCAAAGTTAAAAAAGCATTTGACCTAAAAAATATATGGTGCATTTTCCGATATAGTAAGGTATATCTGGGCAAAATTTGAGCAAAATCGATTTTTCAGTCGTGGCCGCTTTATGTTTGATTTTTGTGGACATCCTCTCTTAAACACCTAAGTCTTAAGGTTGTTCGATATAGTTTTCTAAAAATGGAAAATTCACGATTTAGATCCGTATTTTGGAGAATAGACTTTATGCACGATGAGGTCACAAGGCTTGATGCCCGCGAGGAATGCCGGAAAATTTCGATAGTAGCCATTTTGAATTGTTTAATTTTCTCGGGCGATGACTACTAAGACCAGCGTTCTTCGCGGGCACCAAGCCTTGTGACGTCATTGTCACGCATAAACAATTCAAAATGGCCACTATCGAAATTTTCCGGCATTCCTCGCGGGCATCAAGCCTTGTGACCTCATCGTGCATAAAGTCTATTCTCCAAAATACGGATCTAAATTGTGAATTTTCCATTTTTAGAAAATTATATCGAACAACCTTAAGACTTAGGTGTTTAAAATCACTTTCCAATAGATAAAAATCGACCTCTATGTATGGTATAGCGTCCAACATGCAGTTAACTGTTGTAGAAGTGAGTTTTTATGGACTTTTTACCGTTATTGAATCATGAATGAATAGTGGATTTTGAATTAGTTTAATTAGAGGAATATTTCTGGTAGAAATATGAATACTTGGAACAAAAAATGTATATTTCGGAAATATTGAGGCCGAAGGAATATGACATATTAATGTTAATGTGCCCATATTGTGATTGGAAATTTTACATATTTGTGATATTTATAACATTTAGAGGGGAAAAAATTCACCTTCATGGCCTTTCTCGCTGTTGCAGCTAGCAGAGGTGATTTTACTAAGGCGATACACAGCTAGCCTTTAAAATGTTTTGAATATCATAAATATTCAAAATCTCCCATCATAATATATGGGAGAAGGGCAAACGAGAAGCTGCATGAGACCGTGACAGAGAAGTTGTATAATGGGTAAATGCAATGCTCATGTGGCTTGCATGCGCAATATAAAAATGTAAGCCAGCCAATTCACAGTATCCACTGCGCATACAAATGAAGTGTTCAGTGTAAAATTACACTTAGATCATAACGTGTGTAGCAAAAAGACCGGAAGAATTAAACTATTGCGCTGTTTATGGCCTTTTGTCTATATAACTGGAGAACAATTGCCCTCACTGCTTCATGCAGGAATCAGACTTTCCTCCCAGTCAGAAAAAAATTTTTGCCGATCTTACCAGGATCAAACTATACCGATAATATATACACATCTATTCAACTTCAACTAGACTTACATAAGTTTTATTTTCTTATTTTAAACCTATACATACAGTATCACACTCACTTTCTAAGAGTTGATGTCAACATTTGCAGGTCTTGATTACAGAATCCAACCAGTGCAAATACCAGCCAAACACGTGTTGAATTTGACATCTAAACACGAAGAAAGTAATTCAAGGCGAAATTACTACACTCTATTAAATACAACAAAACGTTAAATTTATCGTCTTCCTAACTCACTTAGAACTGTAAATGGCGAGGTAAATCGTCTCGTTTTATCCATGTCTACAATTAATGTGCAGGTAATTTGTACACACAGCATGTCTACCCCACATATATATATATATATATATATATATATATATATATATATATATATATATATATATATATATATATATATATATATATATATATATATATACAGGGTCTCTAAAAAAACGCTATGGAAATTCAACAGGCTGTCGTGCATCATAAACTTGGCTAAACAATTCAATTTTTATGTCTTAGTGAGACAATAAGAACATGTTTAATGAAACATGGTTCAATTAACCACTGAACAAATAACATTCGTAATCAAAACGTTTTACGAAACAAATGCCTTGCAGCAGGCTCGCGTTGGTTTCGGATTGATTAACTTTGCATAATTAATGTATTTTCAATTCCCAACGGTGGAAGAATGTGATTTCGATATACAAGGTGTATAAAAAAAAAACGCAACCTCGGAATTTCCCAAGAAATCGACATTGTTTTAAAGACAAAAGATTTTAGGCGCCTGGGAATTTAAAATAGCACAACTGTCAAAATTACTGCACACGCGAGTGCATAAAGCAAAATTTATGCATTTATTTAATCACAACAACAGTAATATGATCTATTAGCAATTCGATTTCAATTCCCAGGGGCCTAAAATCTTTTATGCTTAAGAATTGCAAAGTGATTTCTTAGGAAATTCCGAGGTTGCGTTTTTTTTTATACACCCTGTACAGGGTGTCTCAAAAAAACCCAAAATCATTGAAATAACGTATTGTTCGAATTTCAATGCCGTAACACAAAGGATTTTGACAGGGTGATTAATTTGTTTTAAAAAATTAAAATATCTTTGTAAAGTGAACGTTTGTTTGCTCATGGGAATTTAAAAATGCTTCGTAAATTCGTGGGTTTAGTACTTATGCCTGACATAACAAGTTTACGCTGAGTATTACCATTCATTATAGCAGTTATGTCAATCTTTTATGCACTCGTGGGATTAACTTAGTGCTAGGGCATTGAATATCGAACAATACGTCAATTTCAATGATTTTGGTTTTTTTTGAGACACCCTGTACAGGGTGTATCAAAAAAAGCGCAACCTCGGAATTTCCCAAGAAATCGACATTGTTTTAAAGACAAAAGATTTTAGGCGCCTGGGAATTTAAAATAGCCTAACTGTCAAAATTACTGCACACGCGAGTGCATAAAGCAAAATTTATGCATTTATTTAATGCACAACAACAGTAATATGATCTATTAGCAATTTGATTATAATTCCAGGGGCCTAAAATCTTTTATGCTTAAGAATTGCAAAGTGATTTCTTAGGAAATTCCGAGGTTGCGTTTTTTTTTATACACCCTGTATATTAAAATTGACTTTCATATTAAGAAATTAAAATATATCTTTGTAAATTTTTTTCTCTAGGGAATTTAAAGCAGCATAAAGATGTCAAGCATTGCTGCACTGTCTTGTGGGTTCAGCAGAGTGCATGCTGAGGCATTCAAATTCTAACAAGAGGGTCCTGAAGGGGTGAATTTGGAATTAGGATTAGCCTTTTTATCCTGGGAAAATGGGATTTGTCTTAGTGGGAATTGGATTGTGCCACTGATAAATGGGATAAATCTTCAAATTGGGATTGGGAAAATTACGCTTTTTAGCCTCTATAGACTTCATAAGATCTTTATAGACCTTCTTATAAGCTCATAATGCCGTAACTGTTCGAATTCGAAAACAACTTTAAATATTTTACTTTATATATTTTATAATACATTATACGTTTCGCAATATATTCTGTGGATATTTGCAGTTTTTGTAGTCTGCTGTATTCATGTAACAAATCATACCATGCCAACATGGCAGAAGTTAACAGAGTTAACGAAGTGTTGATTGAAGTCGAAAGTTGCCAAATTTGGGCTGTTGTTGTGGAAATCAAGTACATAACTGTCCAAAATATAACTGATTTCGACTTGATTTCAATGATAATATTGGCGGAGCTAGCATTATCACTGACAGTCATCACAAGCGTCTGCTGACGAAGATGAAGCTAGTGAGTCTAGTATCAGTAGTGACGATCAAAAACAATGAAACAGGCCAAGCAGAGGTGGACACAATTGTTGAGAAAGCACTGAACATGATCCGTCCTTCAACGCTTGGTCGTGTCCGAAGACTTACGAGCGAATGTCAAAGCCAGAGCTCCCGTCGAAACTTTTTAGGGAAACATTTTTCCGCACGAGTAGGCTTTAATTGCTTTCGTGGCACTTACCCCAAATTTTCCGTACCATATTTCCGTTTACTTTGCCCGAAAAACACAAATATTTCGCTCAAAGAAATGACTGCATGGGGCCCCACAAAAAATTTCTTGGGGCCTTCAGAACCTAGGCGCCGGGGACAATTTGCCCCCCCCCCCGCCCCCTCTCGGCGGGCCTGTGTCAAACTGTTTACAAATTGAAATGTGAGAAGGTATGTTATGCACAGTACTCCTACAATCGCGTGCAAAAATAATGAGACTCTTCACATTTTGGTGATCTTTTTCACGTGCGTGCCCCCCTCCCCCCATTAACAATGTTGAAAACATATTATTTGACAAGCCCTGACCTCAAAATCGTTTTAACAACATTGCAAAGGGGGGGGGGGGGGCAAGAAGCATTGTTACAGCAGGGAGAGGGCCAATAAACTGCTTGTCTCAAGAATTTTTGCACGCGATTGTCTTAGCAGAGGCCTCATTGTGTTCACAAACTTCATTAAATTTCTGCCAAAAATTGAACTTAACGCAGTCTCGGGCAAAATTTTCATTTTTCGCGCTTTAAGCCCAGTGATCTAGTTTTCGTGCGAAACTGGCACAAAAATGGACTCAAAAGACGCAGAATGGGGGACTGGGTACGAGTAAACAACCGTTTTGAACTGCTTATTGGATCCTCTATGTCTCCTGTTCTAACTTTTCAATCTGGACTCTGACATCCAATTTTTGCAACTTTAAGCAACGCAATTTTCTACTACGGCTGAAACGGACAGATTGACGAACGCAAAACAGAAATTATCTGGTTTGTTTGGTGGAGGGTCTTCGAGTTTACCCGGAAGATTCCGCAGGCGGAGCAGAAAGACCTGTCTCCGTACCCACGCTGTTTTGACGAACTGGTGTTTTTGGATGAACAGTTTTAACTTTTTTCATGCAGCCATCATTGCACATTTACTCTCAAAGAAATATATAAGAATAGATGACACGTTACGCACACGTTACGCACACGTTACGCCACACGTTACGTTTGAGTTTATATAGAATATTAATAAAAATCGACACGTTACACACGTTACGCCCCATTCTTATAAAGGTAGAATAGGTCTACCTTTAATATATTAGGCGTAACGTGTGTAACGTGTCAGCTTGCTATAGATTCTTATATAGTGAAAGGCGTAACGTGTGGCGTAACGTGTGCGTAACGTGTGCGTAACGTGTTGAAATTGAGTTCTATTTAGTTTGTATGCATGTATAAGGTCTTCAAAATAATTTTCATGTAGGCTATTAGTCGTTGAGTTTTCGCATAGTACTTTTATTGAATATTATTCGTCACTATTAAGCATCTAAAACAGTTATTGAAGTCAAAAGGCACTGCCAATATAAACGGTATAAATAGGGGAAAACATTGTAATATAGAAACACTTAATAAATTTAATACTTTAATCGTTCTCCTCGTTTCTCTCTGATCATTGCAACACGCTTGTTCATCGATATAATAATTCAGTTCATAGTACTTTTAGACAAACTCATCGTCGTGCTTTTAACTCATTCGGAAAATTGTTCAAACTTTTCTGACGTGATCTGCTTGTCAATGGCATCTTGTCCTAACTGTTTTGATACTCAAGCGGGACGCGTTCAATTTATGAACTATTTACGGTCACTTATGACGTCACGATGACGTCATTGTGACGTCACAATTTTACACATTGTAGGTAAAATCCTTAGGCACACATGAAACACATAGTCACAGCAAGCAAAGGCTGTTATGCTTCTTATTTACGGCAAAGCGAAATAACTGTATTAAAATTATCATTACTCGAAACTACATAGACAATCGCGTGCAAAAATAATGAGACTCTTCACATTTTGGTGATCTTTTTCACGTGCGTGCCCCCCTCCCCCCATTAACAATGTTGAAAACATATTATTTGATAAGCCCTGACCTCAAAATCGTTTTAACAACATTGCACAAGGGGGGGGGGCAAGAAGCATTGTTACAGCAGGGAGAGGGCCAATAAACTGCTTGTCTCAAGAATTTTTGCACGCGATTGAATCGCGTGCAAAAATAATAAGACTCTTCACATTTTGGTGATCTTTTTCACGTGCGTGCCCCCCTCCCCCCATTAACAATGTTGAAAACATATTATTTGACAAGCCCTGACCTCAAAATCGTTTTAACAACATTGCACAAGGGGGAGGGGGGGCAAGAAGCATTGTTACAGCAGGGAGAGGGCCAATAAACTGCTTGTCTCAAGAATTTTTGCACGCGATTGTAGGTTTTAGATAGACTGTTCGTGCAGATATAAATGAGACTGGGATTTTTAAAATTTTGCTAGTGGGAGTGGGATTTAACCGATGGGAAATGGGAATTTCCAAAAAACTGGACTGGGGAATGGGATCAATACCAAGCAATAGCAATAATGTTACAAAGTTAACGACATCAGTGAGGACACAAGGTTGTAATATCAACAAGGTTGTTACAAGAGACTGAATTATTGTTAACAAGTTGTTCTATACTTGTTGACAACTTGGGACAAGCAGTGCGAACACAATTGAACTGGCTGTATATACATGGATGTTTAGCGTTCTACGCCTCGTCAGTGCACCTTGGTGCACGTCTAGAAACGTGATACATTCGTATTTTTTAATATATCATTTGAAAATTCTGAACGCTGATTGGCTGAGAGCCGTGTTGATAAAACTAATGTCAACACCGGGTTTCTTTTTATTTTCGTCGTGCTATGTTATAAAATTGGGAAACTCGAAATTGTGTGAAAACACTTCGCCCCCTCCCCCCTCCCCCGAGCGCAGTGTTTCGCCATATCCAGAGAAAGAAGGCTTTCCTAAATGAGAAATTTGAATAAAGCATACTTATTCCTTTTCAATTCAATTTGGAAGTTTTGAAACCAGATTATTTGTTTTGCAGAAAATTTAAATCCGTATAATTCCTTTTACATTTTTTTATTTTTTTTAACAGCTTTATTGGACATACGTATAAAAGGTTACATATTATTATACAAACAAAGAAATTTACAGGGTATACGTCCAATGGGGCTAGCGCAAACGGGACAACAAGACCCATGCAGGGCGCCACCCCTATACATACCCGTATAATAACGTGTTGACATTAGTTTTACTATGAAACATTATAAAATGTCGTTTGCTATGTGACTTGAAAGATATAAGCTGCCACTCGTTTTCAAATTAGTTTTACCAGATAATGAGCTTTGATAGATAACTGCTGGCCAGTATCTATCTAGACAATATTTCTTCCCCACGGAATAACTACCGGCTGTCCCAAAAAAACTGGACACTGTTTGATTTCATGTAACGTAAAAGCTGCAAAAGCTATCGCAATTAAATAAAGATCATTGCATTTTAACTTAGATTTTGATATACAGCATAATTAGCATTTGAATTTGCATGCAATATTGACTGCGCTATTGATGTTTGAACGTTGAACCACTGTTTTTGAAAATACCAAAAGTTAGCATAAAACAACCTTATAATTACCGATGTAGTTATACTTGTTAAATAATAAATATTTTTATTTTGTTCGTACCTCGCTCAATGTTGCATGTTATTATACATTGTAGTTGGTAAAAGCAATTTGATTGGCTAAGAGCTTACAGTGAAATCGCGCAATCACGCAACCTACAAAAAATTCAGTTATCTGCTAGCAGATAACTGAGTTATCTGCAAATGAGCCTGCGCGATGATTAGCAAGCGGCATCTATTTAACACCAACAAATGTATAATAAAACAATTATTGAATTTGGTTCTTGAGACGCTTACCTCGACCTTGATAATTCCGCATATCACAAAAACCTCATCCAATAATTTTTTTTAATTATTATTCACTTTATAGTATTCTCAATTTTGATTTATTAATTTACCTGCAAATAACTGTGTGCAAATATCGACCCAGGTGCAAATAACTGGTGCAAATACTTCATTGAGCATGCGCACTTTGAAAATGATTTGTTAGCTTAAATTAAAAAATATCGTCTTCTGTTTTGTAATGTCAACATGGTTCGTTTTGCCGAGCTATCGGAAAGCGATTTGTCCTCTTTACTGGAGGAAAAGGACGCCGGAAACACAAAAAAATGCAATAAAAGTTGGTTTAAACCTATCTCGGGGGTATTTACACGAAAAACGATTGAGTAAGGCACGCTGAGCTTCTGTCGTTCTGATGTCGAAAGTTTTAAACTTGCGAAGGTGCTGGAAAAGTTTTATCCCGAAGCCGGGAAACAGGACGGGAAGTTTTTACACAAAGGTATAATTTACAAATACTAATCGGTAAATGATAAAACAATTATTGAACTCGGCTATCGCAAAACATTGTGATTTATCAGTGGCTCGCAGATCAATTATTTGCCTCTTCCTTCGGCATCGGCAAATAATTGATCCGCTCGCCACTGATAAATCACGATATTTTGCTCAACCTCGTCCAATAAGTGTATACAAATTGAGTTATATATCAAAATCTATAAATCTAAAATATATCAAAGTCATTCCTTTTTCATTTCACATTAGATTTGTGGTTGGCAAAACAATAATATGGTTGCCATTGGCTTCATTTATGCACAGTAAATGCAATATATGCAAATGCACTATATATACCCTAGCTTTCAAATCAATGTTTTTCTCGTCCGAAACAACTTCTCAGATTATAGTTTATCCACAGATAAGCCTCATATTGTACCTTATATGAAGTACTCCTGAAGGTCATATCGTTCTTTCCAATCACATGACCTCACAATTATGTGCACCTCCACAGGAAGATTGGGGAAAAGGTTAAGGAAGTACTCTTGTGGATCGCCCACTGAATAGAATAGTTCGGGTCGCGGCCTTGGACGGTCATGCCAGTGTTCCTTGACATTTCGGATAAGTCGCAAACAGTCCGTCCACGACGACTTATAACAAAATGTGTACCCCTTCAAAGGATCAGTGCTTAAATACTGCAGAATATCGGCATTTAACAGAGATCTCCAATCTTTGGGATCGCTATTCAACTTTCGCACGACATCTGATTTGGTATCCCCTTTCTTGATCTCAGGCTGGCTTCCCACTTTGCACAGCATTTCAAATTGCTGTTTCGCGGACTGAAAATAAGGGTGTTTTAGTGCTTCTTCAGCCGACGGTCTATCTTTGGTATCGTAACTCAGCATCCAGGATAACAAATCTTTCAAGACAGGATTTTTCAACGTTTCCAAGCCAACTGGTTTACCATCAAGTAAGTTGCGAAGTCGGTCTGGTTTTTCTCCAAAGGGATGTTCACCATTCGTAACAATGTAAAATGCCACCATTCCGGCTGCCTAAATATGATAGAGGCAAATTGGTTTATTATTTTTAGAGGTAAGAAAATATATTTTCATAAATATTATGACAGAATAATACAAAATTCGTGTTCGCCAACATTTTGATTCGACACAATTATTTCTTAATCTTTAATTACCAAGTTTTTTTGAAGAATAACGCTGACGAAAGCATTATTAGAAAAACGTTGTTTATTTCAATTTTGAAAAGAACAAAACCATTTTGGTTAATTAAACATCAGCTTTACCAAAGGGAACTTCTTTATTTGGTTACGATGTTAGGGTACAGGATTGCGCTGAACTTGTACATTCCTATAGTCAAAATTGAACATGGCAAATTTATTAGGGCTGCACTAATTGCAAAAAGTAAAGAAATGCCTGCTGGTTTACCATCAAATAAGTTGTCAAGTCGGTATCGTTCTTCTCCAAAGGGATGTTCACCTTTCGTTGCAAAATAGAACGCAACTATTCCAGCTACCTAAGCATGACAGAGGCAATTAACTTGCAGTCGATCATACCAGAAAACAATGATTCTGCTTAAGAAAACAATGATTCTGCTTAAGTTTGAAAAATATTGCTGGCGTTAGCATTAAAACTCTGAAAACTATGTTGTATATATACAACTTAGTTTAAAAATGCTTGGTTTAGAAAAAACTGATGGTTAATCTAACTTTAACAAAATTTAATCTTTTGGTAAACATTGTCTAATTTAGATTTGTTTGTTTGTTCAGCCGCCATGTTTAGGACTCACAAAATAAAGGTTTCAAGAACTATATCTATAAAAAATCCCTACCTGAATATCGGATTCTTTCTTGTAGCGTACTGTGCCATCATCAGTCTTGCTAAGGTTAGGATTCGAAGGATGGGATTCAACAGCTATCCAATCTTCCGTTCCCATCGGCTTGCTTTGATGGGTAGTGGCACCTCCCGCCAAGAGTCGACTAATACCGAAATCTGCCAGCAACCAAACGCCTTCCACGTCTCGCAAGACGTTGGCCGGTTTTACATCTCGATGCAAAATGGGCTTTGGATCGCGATGGAGATCAGTTATTCCCTTCAAAACTTGTTCAATTATTTCTGGCGCAATCTTTACCAGATCATCCGAAATGTTATCATGAACAAAAGTTTCCAATGTTTCCTCGCACAAATCCATGATTAAAAAGAAATACTCGTCGTCACTTTTGTCATCAAAGAAATAATAATTTATCACATGGTTTGACTTCTTTGCACTGGGTTCGTTCAAAAGTTCCTTTTCTTTTTTAGCAAAGTCACCAGCGAAAGCGTCTTTGGGCAAACATTTCACAGCCCTCTCGTATCCATCTTTCCCTAATCCTACATAAACTCGAGTACCATCAGTTCCTTTACCAATGAGAAACTGTTTCATGCAGCAAAAGCGTACTGCGCCAACCTCCTTGATCTTTTTCGGAGAGGTTTTTCCATATTCGCGCAGGTTAATAAACTTTTCTCGATGAACTATCGAAATCTTTTCCCATTTCCACAACTCTGTGCTCCCTACAAAATAGAAAAAAGGTAAATGCTTCAAACAAGGCAATTTGTTCTACGTTTCAACTGTGCATCAAAAAAGGTCATTCAATGGAGTTTATATAGAAGCTGCATGGGCTGGCCGGTCCATGCAGCTAATTCACCTCACAAGTTGGCAAACTTGCAAACATGCCAGTATGATTGCACGTGTAGTTGACCAACAATTGCATGAGCCGAAATAACATGCAGAGGCGAAACGAATGAGAACTTTAAGTTAACTTTGTATATTCCATTGCAAAAACTGTAACATTTAATACATCGTATTATACAAGAGCGCGCGCGCAAAGCGTAGAACGTTTTCGGTAGTGATCTCCGTTATACACATGTCGCGTTTTAAAGTCGTTTTAAGTGGGAAACCCAGTTTTATGCCCATAATAGTGCACGAATTGAAGCATGCAATGTTTGCACAAGGCTCAGAAAAACTACATGCATTCACGGAAATATTTTTCTATCTTAACATAAAAATATTAAAAAGGATTACCTGCAACTGGCTCTCGCTCTTGAATTACGACAGCATTCTCTGAATTTCTCTCTTCATTTGCACCTAAATATGTTTTAAAAATTCTCGAATTAAGTGATCGGTCATTAACAATGGGAGCGGAAGGAGGGGGGGGGGGAGTGGCGGTGACCAAATATTGAACATTTCTTAGAGCCTACCAATCGAAAGACTTTTATTTTCAAGATACCCTCACCTTCATCTAGAAAATTTAGGACCCCTCCTCCAACATTTAACTTGTTACAAATGGTATATTTTTAATAAATCAGTTACTGTAAAATTATACCAAAAGGTATCCTTGAATGGTGAACCTTTCTGCATTGTTTTATATTTAACAATAAAATTAACTTTTAGTTAAGAATAAGTTTTAAAGGTCCTCCAAAAGACGTATTTGAGTCGAACTGTTTTGTTTTATAATATGTTTTCAACATTAAAAAATTGGGGCCGCCCCTTGTCACATATTTTTCAATTCCCTCTTTTCTCACTCACCGCCCACCTCCCATTATCAACGACCGATCCCTAAATAACAAATATCAAGCATCGTGTAAAATAACACTGCTCAAATATAGTGGACTACGTAAACATCATCAGTGCTTCCACTCCCAAGAAAATAATTTCCTTCCCAACTGCTCATGACTTCCTTATTTTTGACAAAATTTTCTTGCACTAAAGTTGATGAATTTTACCTAGTTTAAAACTGATATTACAATAATTTATCTTAAATGACTGTGTGTTTCTCGGGCCAGAATGATTATGGACGTTGCAGGGGAGGGATTGTCAAAGCGGAAGTTTACCTAAATTTATGCGAAGTAGAAGGAACAGGGGGTTTGAGGTCATCCCTCAGAAGTTTTTCAGATTTTCCATTCCCCAGGACAGGATTTTCGACATTTTCTTGCAAATGAAAGCACTGATCTTAATAAACTATGGCTATGGCAACCAGAGTGTGACATTAGTTGGACATAACTGACTGAGCAAATTAAAACCTATGAAATGTTCCTGACGGAAATAAAAGTTTTCGTTCTCACAATTTAAATATATTTCATCCAAACTGTTGATACTTGGATAGTTTAATATGATGTTGCTTCCACGATGGGAATTCTCATGATCTAACTAATGACTGCGCATTGGAGAATACTTCATTAATAAGAATACCTAAAAGGTCACTTAAATAAATATCTCATCACAAGTTGAGCCTTTAAGAGAGAGTAATAAGAGACGTTATAAAAGCAGCGGACGAGTTTACTAAACACTTACCGATAAATTTTGACAAGCTTTTCTTTGTATTCTCTGACGCCGTTCCGTGATTTCTATTTCCTGGTTCTTCATAAATTTGTAAGGATTCTTCAATGCACTGAACAGCATTTTGAAACTGATTGTTCAATTGATAACATTGTCCTAAGGAAAGTAATAATCTTTTTTCTGTTTCAACATGTTTTATTTTTCTGGCAATTTCCAAAGCTTTCTCATAGTGGTCAATGGCCGTTTGAAACTGCCTGTTCTCTCTATACGCATATCCTAACCCAAGTAATGCATCCGTTTCCTGTTGTTTATATTCATGCTCCTTTGCAATTTCCAAAGCTTTCTCATAGTGTACAATCGCCGTTTGAAGCCGATTGTTCCATCTATACGCATCTCCTAACCCAAGTAATACATACGTTTCCTGTCGTTTATTTTCATGCTCCTTTGCAATTTCCAAAGCTTTCTCACAGTGGTGAATCGCCGTTTGAAACTTCCTGTTCCATATATACACATATCCTAACCCAAGTAATGCCTCTGTTTCCTGTTGGTTATATTCATGCTCCTTTGCAATTTCCAAAGCTTTCTCATGGTGATCAATCGCCGTTTGAAACTGATTGTTCCCTTTATACGCATGTCCTAACCCAAGTAATGCATACGTTTCCTGTCGTTTATTTTCATGCTCCTTTGCAATTCCCAAAGCTTTCTCATAGTAGTAAATCGCCGTTTGAAACTGAATTTTCATTCTATGCGCATCTCCTAATCCAAGTAATGCATTCGTTTCCTGTCGTTTATTTCCATGCTCCATTGCAATTTCCAAAGCTTTCTCATGATGGTCAATCGCCGTTTGAAACTGATTGTTCCCTCTATACGCATGTCCTAACCCAAGTAATGCCTGTGTTTCCTGTAGTTTATATTCACGCTCCTTTGCAATTTCCAAAGCTTTCTCATAGTGGTCAATCGCTGGTTGAAACTCGTTGTTCGATGTGTATGCCTCTGCTAAGGAAAGGTATACATGTGCTTCTTGAAATGTTTCTCCTTGTTCCTTTACATGTTTTGAATCTTGTTGGTCCATTTTTATAAGCGAGTTTTTCCTCATTCACTTTTTTTATTCAAGTCGATCACCCTTTTCAGCGACCCTACATTATTTAAACGTAGAGTAATTAGATTTTGGACGCTTTTCATATTCTTATCCATTTGTTGTGAATAACAATCAATTGTAATGTCGTTTTGAGCGAGGGATTATATGCTATCGATTTCATTTAAATATTTAAAAGTATTGATCATTTATATTAAGGTGGCTCCCTAGGGTTTTATTTCCGGGGGTTACGTTCTTCATATATATGTAATCAAAATCTAGTAAAAATTGCCAAAATTAAACCCAAATTTCTCCATTTTTCTTCGGTGAAATTTTTTAAAACTTTGTACATTTTTTCACATCGGCACAACAAGTGCAATATCCTTTTTTTCTTAAAATTAAATCGAAGGGGAAATTTTAATATTGATTTTTAACGTTTTTAAAATTTTCTAAGAAACGTATCGATTTTATTTGTAAACAAATCATTGTACAAGTATTATCTTTTATGCAAAGTTTTAAAAAATATCACCAAAGGGAATTTTTAAAATGACCTGGAAAATACATGTTTTTAACAACAGATTTTTAACACAAAAGTAGCAATTTTCAATTTTCAGGAGAACATTGTTAATGTGTCCAATAAATTTCGTCTTCATGTCATGTAAAATGAAGAAACAGGAGTCTCCTGAATACTATACTGTAGTAAATTAAAAAACCTAGGGAGCCACCTTAAGCATTAGGTACTGTAGGAATGTACAATACTTGGTACAAAACTTGTTAGAGGATTCACACAACATAATTATAAGACAATTACTGTATGCCTTTCCTTTTTTGTTTGCACGAGGATAATATTACACAGTTCCTTCTATATAATTCTATAACGATTTACCCTCGCCTTTTATACCTTTCCCCGTGAATGCAAAGTACTCATAGCAGATAAGGTTTAGCTAAGTATTTTTCTGTTATATGGTATAAAGTGTTTTTACATTTGGTCAGGGATATATACCTAATTCATAAACTCTATTATATACGTACAAACGGTCTCGCATGGACATATGATAGCATTGCTTGATGTGTTTTTATAAGCATTTTAAAATTTCTATTGATCGCGGCTTTTTGTTTGTAGGAAAGCTCTTTATAAAGGTGCCTGGGGCCGGTTGTATAAAACTCTTAACCACTTTTTTAATCACTATTTTGTAGTTAAATAGTGATCAACTCTCAAATAGGCGCTTCTTATTGGATGACATTTACACTTAATCATAGTTAACTTTAAATTAATCACTTTTTTATACAACCGGCTCCTGATGTAGCCTATATTACTGTAACGTAGTGAATATAAAAATAATTGTATGTACGCATATTATACTATACTATACTACAGACTATAATTAATATTCAAGTTGTGCCGCACGCACGCACGCAGGAGTCTATGACTTTGCCCTACATCGAATTATCGGATAACATAATTCCTGATCATGAGTCTTAGCGATGCCAAAACGGCATATATAACACGAGCTCTAACAGTCGGGAGCAACTTCATTTGCCTACATCGGATAACATATACGTTTGATAACAGAAATCCATACTTCAACATAATTCCTGATCATGGAGTCTTAGCGAAGCCATAACCATTTCACAACATTGAACAGGGAGCGGGGGGGGGGGGGGGGGGG